TCTCTCTGTCTGTCTGGCGAGCGCACGCGCCCTATAGCGAAAATCTCTCCCCCCCCCAAAAAAAAAAAAATAGAAAAAAGACATCAAGACAACCCACAACCCAAAATAGTCAGTCTTCAGAAATTAAAATGCTACAAATCAAAATCAATGAAATATGAGCAGAGCTGTCCTCAGAAGGTAAGTTTATTGCTGTAAATGGTTTTCCCACTTCCAGAATAAAAGTAAAAACTTTTGCAGGGAAAAAAAAAGAGTAAAAGGTACTAAATATTTGGCTTAGGATTTTAGTATAAAACTGACTAACAGAAGAAAGTGTATAAAGGCATATAAAGTTTTAAATTGGTAAAAATATTCTGTTATTCTCCTTAAGATTCTTCCAATACTGTGATAAAGTGAAAGAAAACCAGCTTGAATTTGGAAAATGTAGCTTCAAGTCCTGCTGTAGAGTGGTGACTGTAGGAGAACAAAGTAATCTTCAATGCCTCAGTTTTCTCCTTTGTAAAATGGGACCCAGCCATTCATCCAAAGAGTCGAGTCTAAAGGCTAAATAATGCCTCTGAAAGCACTTTATAACTAGTGTTTTGTTGAAATGTTTCTTTTTTAGTGTAGTTTCATGTTTCAGCTCAGATCACCTTCTTTGTTCCTAGAATACTCTTGGTTGTCAGTGTTAGTAAATTAGATCTATGCTATGAGAAGTGGCAGGGTTTTGTGTTTTTTTGTGGGGTTTTTTTGATCCTAAGAAGAGTTAGAAATAAGCCAAGTGACTTTTATTTGTGTTATATAAATTTGCAGTTTTCTTTAAGTTATATGAGATTATTTTAAAATATAAATTGTGCATTATAATCTTTTCACTTTTAAGATGTTTTTAAAGAAACACTTAACCCTTTTTTTTTTTTTTTTTTTGAGAGATTTTCACTGTAGGGCGCGTGCGCTCGCCAGAGAGACAGAGAGAGACATAGAGACAGAAAGCGAGAAATCACCCCCCAGGGGGGATGGTCACACCGCAATCCCTTCTCCTCCATTCTCCTCTCAGGATCTTGGGCACGCACGCACACGCGCCCGGCGTGAGCTTCAAGTCACCGGGTCCGGTACACGAACCGCGGTCGACTACATGGGAGTCCAGCGACATAGCCATTACGCTAACTGCTGGTTCCCCCAAGAAACACTTAACCCTTTTTAAAATTCAAAGTAAGTCTAATTAAGTCTCAAGCAGGGGTCAGATGGTGGTGACACAATAGTAAAACAAGGTGCAGTA